AATTCTCTTTTAGAATATCACCTTCCACTTTGGTCGATTTATAACCTCCAAATTTATAGAAGTGAGAAAATACTGAATTAAAGATGTTGTTGTTAAGCTTTGTACAATTAAATCTAAAGTTCAACTGAACCGATTTTATTAATTAATAGGTCATTGGATAGCCTAATTTGTGACGATTTGCAAATAATTATGAAAGTACTGTTGAGGTTGCAAGCAAGATCGTTTGGCTATAAATCGATGATAAATAACTCAATTTTTTAAATAATTTGTGTTGGTCATAATTTAGCTGTGTGCTTTAATGAAATGGAAGCTGGTATTTCAATGAAGGTTCTTAGGTCAAAACAAATAGAATAACGTAATTAGAATTAAGTAAATATATCTAAAACTAAATTCCATATCCAAGATATAATCAAATTTATATTTTCTGATTGAGCGATACAGTATCTTGAACTTAACTGATTAAAACTATCAATATCTCAAGTGAAAGCCTTTGAAGTATTTTAAGACCAAGAGATATAAATAACTTAAATAAAAATAGAGTTACGTGCAGATAGGTACTATAAACGATTGTAATTATTGTTGATTCGTGACTCAGCTCACTGCTTTAGGTAGTTCGATCTTAATAATCAATAGCTCAAATGAAAGCTGGTATTTCACTTAAGGTTTTTAGACCAAAATTTATAATGTAATTAGAACTGCTGGAATACATCTTTAATTCAAGAGAAAAAAATTTGTTTGTCGAGTAATACATTTGATAAATTAATGATGATGCTTGATGACAAATATGTGCTTGCATAGCTTTATTTTGAGACCAAAATTATGAAAATCGGGCAGGTAGAAGAGCCCTCCTGTAAACCATCACCCGCCTGCGAAACATTGAACTAGAAAAAAAAACAAATTTAACTCCCATAAGGAATGTACAGGGAGGCAGTTTGTGCATAGCTCGAAATATACGTCAAAATGAATGCCGATGCTTGATGGCAAATCTGCGGTACGTCCATACCTTTAGTTTAAGGCCAAACTTATGAAAATCGTTCGGGTAGAACGAGCTAACCCGACTCGGAAAAGAAAAACCAATTATTTTTATAGATGGCAATAATTGGTTTACCAGTATGCATAATCTAATCATACAAAACATGTGTTAATAATTCAACAGCTTATTGTTATATTGTTATCTAATTATTTTTCTTTGATTAAATGTTGTTGTTAACAAGTTGTATTTATGTTTAAAGTGTGTTCCTTATGTTAAATGTGTGATTCTAATGTTATGTGCTTAAACTGTACCATTAATATTAGTGAGTAAAGTGGTGTATGGATTTGATAACCATTATTTTACTAGAGACCGTTGTATTTAACCACAACGGGCACTGTTGCTAGTAATAAATATAGTAATAAACATAATAAGAATAAAGTATTAACAGTATTGAACAGTATTGAAAAACAAGTATGAAATAAGCTAGGTTATTAGCAAAGTTTACAAATAAGTTATATCAATGTCAATAAGTTATGTTTACTACAATCAGACTGATAAAAAATCCTCAATTCTGTAAAAGCAATTGTCTAACAGGTAAACAGTAAGTGTAACCGGAACTTTTTAAATGATTCTACCTCTCTCAGTGATAAAGGAAGCTTATTATACAGTTTGAGACCCATATAAAAAGTTCTCTTTTCATAAGCAGCAGATTTATATATGGGGTACTGCAACACAGAGTTCATGGGCCTAAAGCTGTATTGGGAGTTAGCCTAGTTCTTTTTTCTTCATAAATAGAAAAATGTTTTTCGACAAAGATTAAAGTGTTGAATACATACAAAGAGGGCACAGGTAAAATCTTCATTCTTTTAAACAAATTTCTACAAGATGTTCTTGGATTAACTTGTGCAATCTTACTAATATTATACAGTAGATGTGAAAGTTTGTGTGTTTGTTTGTTTGTGCATGTTTGAAGTTCAATCACGCATAAACCACTGGACGGATTGGGCTGAAATTTGGCATGATGATAGCTTACATTCCCGATTAACATATAGGGCCTAGGCATATTCTTATCTCAAAAATCCTTTCGGGCTCCGCCCCAGTGGCTCTGTAATTCCCCATGTTAACCTTATGAGTATTCATGTTTAAAGGGAATTAAAGAATTTAGTCAGCTGTTTCAACTAAAAAAGTTGGTTCTATGATATGGAAAAGCATTAAAAAGTTATAAGATTTACCAACAGGGTGCAGCACAGGGTGCAGCAATTGCAACAGCAAATTAGCTGTTTTTTCATGAAAAAAAAAAACAGCTAATTTGACCTAAGCAGCAACAAAAAACTGTGATTCACAATGAGAACTGTCAAAGTAGGATTGTTTACAGTTATGTTTATGTTTTTCATTTGATGAATAATTTGTGATATTTAGCGAATTGTTGATAATTTATTTGTCTCTATTGTTTAGGTGAAGTGGTAGAACATTATGGCTATGGTAGATGTGTAATACTATAGAATACTGTAAAGTAAGCAAATTGTATCAAACTGTGTCTACCCTTATTGCAAACGCAAAGCTTGAATATAACTGCAATAAACATTTTATACTTATATTCCAACCCCGTACGAAGGGGGGATAAAACAATTCCTTATTATATTTTTCCGTTTCAAACAAAACCTAGCCCAAGTAATATTTTCCTCTATTCGGCTGCTCTTCGGTATGCGGCCTTTGCCCTCAACGCTGATATCCTTCCAAACGACACAGTCTACTGTCGTCTGCCGCTGAATAATCACCATATTTCTATTGTCTATCCGCATCATCTTTTCATCATCCCGCAACTTAATTCACTCTTCAATTTACAACTTTTAAATTAATCAGTCTGTACATTGCTGGTAGAAGTGACAATGCTTCAAGTCAGGTGGGGTACCCCAAACCAAACATCTCTTCAGCTGCACTAAGGTCTGTGACAGTAATGCAACATTGTTTTGCACTTTTTAACAAGTAGTCTAATAAGACTGATTAATTTCATCCTAAGTTTCATCTATTTTTCATATTTTACCAGTCTGAGAACATTATACAGGCGCTGTCTTAACTGTTAAGTTGGTGGGAAATGAATTGATATACCGGTTGCGGCAAAAGTCAGTATACCGCTGCAGGCCGGTGAGCGTCATTGTTTATCTCTCGCGCTATTATTGTCTCAGTGTTATTCCTTATCTAATCTGACGTCTAGTCGTGGTTGATTTTGTCTTTGTTTATTCTTTATCATGAATGACAGTGAAGTTAAGTTGGTGAGTGTAGTGCTTGTATTATTAACTTCTATTATTGGTGTTTTTAATCATGAATCGTAAACTAACTTTAGAGCAACGAGTTTTTCTTTTGAAAAATTGGTGGAAATTTGATCGTGATTATACGGGATGTGTTCTTAGAGTTGGAAAACAGTCCCACTTTTGAACAGTTGCGTCGTCGTTCGATTATTTGGCAGCAAGACGGAGCACCTCCACACTATGGCCTAAATGTTCGAGCATTTTTAAATGATAACTTCGATGAATGGATAGGACGTAGAGGAACTATTGAGTGGCCTGCTAGGTCCCCAGACCTAACTTAGTGCGATTTCAGTATGTGGGGTTTGTTAAAAGAACACGTGTTTTCGGAGAAACCTCAAAGTTTAGAACATTTAAAAGAATTAATAACAAAACATTTTGATGTTTTATTCACACCACAACTATGCAACAAAATCTGTAAGTCACTGTTGAAAAGGTGCTACAAGTGTATAGACAATGATGGTGGTCACTTTGAGCAGCTTCTCTAACAGGACAATTAAAATTATACTTTTATAGTTATGTTTAATGCTAGCTACAGTTTAACTGCTTTTTCGGTATACTGACATTTGCCGCACCCTGTATGTTAAGAAAAGCAGGGGCCAAACAAAATCATTTAGTCAAACAAGATATCAACTTTTTTGCTCCTCAAAATGCTCATTATGATCACCTCACTAGATTTAGATGTACCTTGTTAATCCATATGTAGGCTAAGGCTTGCAAAAACCCGACATTGTCATGTTTAGGTACCATCAACTTGCTCTTTATAATAAACTATAGCTCGGCCGCTTAGAAAACGACCTCCTCCAGCATTGGTTTAGCATTAGCGCGCAGGTCGTTTTCTAAGCGGCCGAGCTATAATAGCTATTATAAATTTGCCACTCAATAGATTTAAGAAAACTGTAACTCTTTTTCTAAAGGACCAATTCCTCCTACTCTGTAGCGGACTACATGGATGATCATCTTATATCATGACCTGTTAATCTGATGTAGGTAACATATCTTATCTAAATCTTTGTCTCTGTTCTTTACTTGTTTTAAGTTATGTTGCACGATAGGCAAATGCCTAGGGGCGCAAACAGAAAAATAAAAATAAAATTGTTGTAAAAATAGTTTGAAAAAGCTTAAAAAACAAACAAATTTAAAACCAGTTTCTTAAAATTTCCCGGGGGAGAACCCCCAGTATATCTTGCCAACCTAGTGCTTTATGAGTTAACCCAACCAAACATAACCGGTTGCAGCGTGCTGTATACCTAATCGGCGGAGTATAGCGGCGCGGCGGCGATGTAACTTATTCAACTCAATACTCCCGACATCGCTGCCTTCAGGGAGGCAGAACTCAAAGGCCGCTAATCGTAGGCTAATCATGTCAAATTTAGACAGTAAGTCAATTAATGTATGTTCTTTCCAATTTTGGTAGTTATTTTTGATCTCAGATAAAAAAAGTTTTCTAAATTTTAAGTGGCCTCAGGATAGCCTAAGTTAATACCAAAGTAGGCCTACCTAAAACCTATTTAGGCCTAGTCATTAATTGCAGTTTCGGGGCTACCAATATGAATTTCAATAAGATATCAGTGTTGTGCTTTGGGAAATAATTTTGTGTAGGCCTAACTTAGGCCTATCTATTGCCGATAGCTTGTTTTTCTCAGGTAATACTTAGTTTACCTACTTAAAAAATTGAACTCTGACACCATTAAATGTACAACAAAACCTTGTATATTTACCTCTAAAATTATTTTGTGCATGTTATCCAAGTTCTGTAGGTAAAGTTGGGTTGCTGGGTCATCGTAGAACTTGTGAATAACAGCTGTGGCTGCATGACACGCTTGGGCAATCACAGCTCCTACTGGCCAATTTGACGATTTAATCAGGTCACCACGTACTAGGATGTACTGAACTACTGCTGCCATCTTGAAAAGGTTAGGATGAATTTTAGGTTTGAGGACTAAGTTAATTTGATGAATATGCCTATGTTAGCTCAACAAGTTCTTTTAGGCATATCTTTAAACCCAAAATATGGAAAATTATATTGACCTATTAGGTAACTTAGGCATACAGTAAGCCTAAAGAGGAATTTTTCCATCCTCCAGCAAGTAGATAACTTACAGCTAATTATGCCTACAATTGAAATAAAATTATATGTACAAGGCATTAAGTTATGTATTGGAAATGTGGATCGCGGACGTATTTTGCCGCAAAACGGCCAGCAATAGATTTTAGTGGGCACGCGTACAACTTATTGCTGATTTTACCCCCCCCTTATTCTACTCCCCAGGTACATAATGTTGATACTGTCGTGTCCGTTAAAGTGTCCTCTATCTGTTGGCATTATTGGTAATATGGATCGCGGACGTATTTTGCCGCAAAACGGCCGGCAATAGATTTTAGCGGGCGCGCGCACAACTTATTGCTGATTTTATCCCCCTTATTCTACTCCCCAGAGGTACATAATGTTGATACTATCGTATCCGTTAAAGTGTCCTCTATCTGTTGCATTATTGGTAATATGGATCACGGACGTATTTTTCCGCAAAACGGCCGGCAATAGATTTTAGCGGGCGCGCGCACACATTATTTCAGATTTTAGGAATTTTAGAATATCTACATGTATTCTACACGTATGTAATACATTATTACAATTAAACTATATACATGACACTTGGAACGAAGGTATATAAGGTTCCAAGTTATATAAACATGAATTCTATACGTATGTAAAATTTGGTAACAATTAAAAAATATTTACCTATTTTATTAACAAAACACTGCCGTAAAAAGCTAATTTCATTTTACTCACCCGGGTCAATCGCCAATAAGGGGTACTTATAATCAAACTATAGAAACATGAAACTAGGAACGAAGGTATATCTACATGTATTATACACGTATATAAAATTTGGTAACAATTAATAAATATTTACCTTTTATATTAACAAAAAACCACCAAAAATATTTAATTTAATTTTGTTGATCCGAGTCAATTGCCTTAAGAATTTACTTAGACCTAACCTATATACATGAAACTTGGAACGAAGGTATATCCACATGTATTCTACTTGTATGTAAAATTTGGTAACGAGAAAAAAATATTTATCTATTTTATTAACTAAAAACCGCCCAAAATACCTAATTTTATTTCTTGTTGACCCGAGTCAATCGCCTAAAAAGGGTACTTAGAATTAAACTATATACATGAAACCTAGAAAGAAGGTATATCTAGACATGTATTCTACACGTATGTAATACATTATTACAATTAAACTATATACATGACAATTGGAACGAAAGGAATATAAGGTTCCAAGTTTCATGTATATAGTTTAATTATAAGTACCTTTTTTAGGCGATTGACCCGGGTCAACAAAATAAAATTAGCTATTTTGGGCGGTTTTTAGTTAATAACATAGGTAAATAATTTTGAATCATTACCAAATATTACATACGTGTAGAATACATGTAGATATACCTTCTTTCCAGGTTTCATGTATATAGTTTAATTCTAAGTACCTTTTTTAGGCGATTGACTCAGGTCAACAAGAAATAAAATTAGGTATTTTGGGCGGTTTTTAGTTAATAAAATAGGTAAATAATTTTGAATCATTACCAAATATTACATATGTGTAGAATACATGTAGATATACCTTCGTTCCAAGTTTCATGTATATACTTTAATTCTAAGTACCTTTTTTAGGTGATTGACTCGGGTCAACAAAATATAGTTAACTATTTTGGGCGGTTTTTTGTTAATAAAATAGGTAAATATTTTTTTATCGTTACCAAATTTTACATTCGTGTAGAATACATGTAGATATACCCTCGTTCCAAGTTTTGTGTATATAGGCCTAAGTTACTTTAATTCTAAGAACCTTTTTAGGCGATTGACTCGGGTCAACAAAATAAAGTTGTAACTATTTTGGGCGGTTTTTTGTTAATAAAATAGGTAAATATTTTTTAATCGTTACCAAATTTTACATACGTGTAGAATACATGTAGATATACCTTCGTTCCAAATTTCATGTAAATATCTACATTCCAAGTGGTTTTCCTTCTAAATAAACTTATATTAAATTTGTTGACCCGGGTCAACAAAATAGTCAGTTCCCCAGAGCCATACACCTACCGTTAAAAACTTATCAAATTTTAATAGTGTGACTGATTTCCGTAAATTAGTTAAAGAAAATCTTTGTACCTTTTTACTATATTAATGTGTTTTGGTTTGGTTGGCTCGTTGACTGTTGGTTGAGTGTTGAGATGCAGATGCAGATGCAGATGAGGTTAGGTTTATAGGTTAAGCTGTTTTGCACTTTTGTTTTTTGCGGATAGCGCTGGGTTCACAACGATATGGTAGCCTGGTAGGCAGGCATACGGTTAAGTATCGATCCATCGATCGTCGTAGTATGAAAACAACTATCGAATATCGTAAATCGACTGGCTTCCATATAGCCGCCAGCGCCAACCAACCAACCAAAACGTAAACAAACAAGTTTAGCTGCTGCTAACTCATGTTTTCCAATTTTTATTTTATTTATAAAAATGCCATCGTATTTACTTAGGCTAGGATTATACTAGGACGCTGGCGTCCGGGATGCTGGCGTCCGAGAGGCTAGCGTCCCACCTCGAGCCGAAAAATGACGTGATTTGTGTTGGGATGCTAGCCTCTTGGACTGCCATTTTATTTCAATGTTTAGTCACTTTTCGTTTATATCTATTTAAATAACATTAGGTTTAAAGAGTACCAAGGTTTGATGCTGGGGGCTAATAAAGTGTGTTTTTAGTAAAATACTGTATTATTAGCTTAGTATAAAACATATCGTCCAAGTTTAATCAAAATATATACATACACAAGCAAATTCCAACACATAACATTTTCTATAAGAATAACATGGCAATTTTTAATGTACTCTTTTTTTTAATTTTCTCCATAACTAATAACAGTACAAAAACATTTAAATATACTATTTTTTTTGTTTTTAAGCTCATTAAAATTGTCTAGAGAGAAATTGGGAATTTTTAAGTTTTATGGGTCAAAAATGACAAACCCCCCTTTTTAGCACATAAAACCCCGTTCCCAAAGTCTGTTCATGCTGGTTCGCGAACTCATTCAAGTTTATCCCACCCCTCACCTTAAAACAGAATTTCTTCAAAATAGGACAAAAGTTACTCTAGTTATCGCGTTTACGGACATATATATAATATTTAAATCTATACGAACGGGTGGTGTATTTGGCCTCTGGGGACATCAAAATGAAAAAGTAAATCGGTCCCGGGCCTAGGTCTTACCATGCCACCTACAGTAATAGCTTCGAGCGTCCGGTGGCTCTTTTTAGCATCCGACGCTAGCATTCATAGTATAATCGCACCCATTTGATTTAATGCCCCGCTAGCGTCCCGGACGCTGGCCTCTCGGACGCCAGCGTCCTAGTATAATCCTAGCCTTATTGTTTAATGTAAAACAGCTTGTAAATAAAACTTTGTTAGAAAACCAAACCAACCAACACAACGCCGATAGACAGAAGAGAGAAGACAGAGACATCAAAAACTAAACTACTAGACTAGCATAGCACTAGCCTAAAAGAAGAGGAAAATATTTGATTTATATATGTTATTTAATTTATTTCAACTTTGTTCCTTTTGATCAGTTTCATGGTGCATAGTGCATTATTATGGAAGAAATATGCAAAGTTCATCATCTAAACGCTTTTAAAAGTAAGGGGGGCAGTAATTTATCTGGCGTTAATTGCGCAAGTTACTGGAATATTAATTTTAAAATTCCTCCGTAATTTAAGTTCTTATACATTCATCATGCTGGTTATCAGCCTTACTGTAATTCGATAATAAACATTTTCATTGGAAAATTTTATGCCAGGTTCAGATATTATGTTGTACTTATTTATTTGCATTCACTCTCACTGTAATATTGTGAATTAAATTATGGCCTTCCGTCGTCAAGGCCACATTATGACGTTTGACGACAGACATAGGAGCTAGGAGCAGCTGCAGCAGAAGGCACCAAGACCAAGGCAATAATTATATACTGTAGTTTACTTCCAACTTCCACCATGAGAGAGCCGGTGTGCGGGTGGCACAATTTTTATTTCAGCTGCAGTTATTTTAATAAGAACAAAATGAGAGCATTCTATTGGCTGAGGGAACACCATTAGCGCAATGAAACAGAATGATGTCGTCGGCCTCTGTGGTCAAGTGGATGGCGTGCCGGGCATCGAAACTAATGGTACCAGGTTCGAAACCCATCGGGGGCACAAACTTTTTGTCTAAGATTTTTGCACTATCAGCAAGTTTGGTTAGTTTTGTTAGGTTATAACAGTTAAATTTTATAATTAAAACCTTATAAAATTGAATTTGAGCTATTTATAGTTTTATTTTATGAACAGAACTTTTTTCGATTAGTAAACCTTCATTCAATTTTTTCATTATCAGCAAGTTTGGTTAGTTTGGTTAGGTTATCACAGTTTAATTTTATAATTAAAAAATATAAAATTTAATTTGAGGCATTTATAGTTTTATTTAAGAACAGAATTATGTTTTCTATTAGTAAACCTTCATTCAATTTTGTCATTATCAGCAAGTTTGGTTAGTTAGGTTAGGTTATGACAGTTTAATTAAAAAATTAACTATATATTTTTTTTAGTTTTAGGCCTACAATAATTTTTTTTTAATTTCTAATTTTTAAACTCTCACTTTGTCTGTATTAAAAAACTGCAGCTGAAATAAAAATCGTGCGAGCGGGTGAGCCCGAGCCGACAGCCGATACTAAAAACAAAAAGTCGATGTCTATCATCCGGTAGAAAAAAAATAACCAATAATAATAATAATCAAATAAAATAAAAATCATAATACAAAATAATAATAATCAAAAGAACCTTCATTTGATTTTTCCATTATCAGCACGTTTGGTTAGTTTGGTTATGTTATGACAGTTTAATAAAATTGTCTGTTTCTGACGCGTCTGTTCAGACGCAGCAGTTAGTGACGTCAAACGGCACCTGAGAAATCTTCCGTGTGCCCCACCGACTAACCGACTCCTGTCTGTTGACATTGACCTTGGAGGGGGTAAAAAGCTGATTGTGAGCGCTTCCGTTATCAATGTCCTCAATCCTATCAAATATTATGTTACGGCCAAAATTTAGTTTTTCATTTAAAATGTCGTGAGGATGTTTTTTTGTTGCTTTGTAGATTTCTAAGCTTTCTAGAACATTAACCCTCCGAGTGTCCCTAGTTTGGCCTTAATGTTTGCCTATTTTTTGCGCATTTGCAAGGTTTTATTAAAACGGATCTGAGAAGCTTAAAAACAATGTTAATTATACTGTTCTATATACCATTTTGTTTGGAAAATCATGGGCTTCAATATTATACATAAAACATAAGGAACATTTGTTTCAAAAAATTTTTTTAGGTAAAAAAAATATTTTGGAAAATAAAATAAAAATAAGTTCGCCTATAAGTAGGCCTATAAATATTTGAAAATAGCCACTTTGTTCTAAATTTTATGAGGATTACAAATATATAATAATATAATGAAGTAGATTTGAAAATAAATAAGTTATGGGCAAAAAACAGATTTTTACTGGCCATGAAATGTACGGGAATTGTCCTTAAATGCCAGACTATGTCCTTAAATTTTTAATGGGCAATAATTTTATTAATCGCTAGTTGGTTAGGAGCACATATAAGGTTTATCACTTTATCAGATGTTTGTTTTACATTTTCATCATGTTCAGGGTGGGTCCATTCAGCTTGCAGTGCTGCGGAGTCTGTAGAGAACTACATTTGTGGACTTTTTCTTCTTTCCTTTAATTTTGGGATGACATTTTATAACTTTTTTCATAAACTTAATGTTTTTCATGAAGGTTGATTTTTGAAATGTAATTTCTTCTAAAATGTTTAAATTGTAATACACTATTTCTTAGCTACAACCTTTATATAGTAATAAAAAGTGTTTGTACAATAATTTGTTGCAATACTATTATATTACTAACCTAAACAAATGATTTTTGAACTGATACCGCATAGTTCAAAAATCATTTGTTTAGGTTAGTAATATAATAGTACTGCAACAAATTATTCAAACACTTTTTATTACTATATAAAGGTTGTAGCTAAGAAATAGTGTATTACAATTTAGCCCCTTCTACTGTACGGAATAGCCCCACCCCCAGGGCTATTTCGTACAATGTAGCTTTTTTTAACTACCAATTTTACATGTAAAAAAATGCAATATTTCCATAATGTTTATATACAATCAGCAGCCAAATAATTAAATTATATATTGCTTGTGTTTACATTACTTTTACTTCGTAATTTGCAATGTAACTACGAATCTCCCTTATGTGTACGGTATAGCCCAGCTCTCCCCTACACATCTTTTGAGAAAAACTAAAACAGTAATTCTTTCTTCAAACAATGTCTGGTACCATAATATTTTGGTTTTTTTCAAATCAAATAAATACACTAGTTATATTTCCCACATTGATTATACCTTTCTATCAAAAGTTACCTAAGCACCCCATAAAAAATTCCATACGTAAATAAAATAGACCTTAAAACTATTAATTTATTCATACAATTACTGCACATTTGTTGAGTGTGACTTTGAGTAGAGGTAGAGGAGGAAGGATAGACTTCCTTGACCTCAATACTTTCACTCTATACTCCAGCTCAGCTCAGTTGTAATGTTATAATCAGCTGTTTTCTCACATGTTAACTGTGATGTAACATGAAGTTTCTACTGTTACTTTCGTTAATCCCTCTTCTGGGTGAGTTTTAATTTATAAATTTACAATAATTATTAACCATCTTATCTGTCACATGTCATATAATGTTTCTTGTTCGGCTTTGTCTTTGCCTTATATAGACATATTTAATTAAATTTTGTTAAGTTTTGAAAGCAGATTATGTAGTACTATTAATAGCAGCTATACCCATACCTTGCAACAGGGTCAGTATTCAAAAGAGACAATGTTGGTTCTTTGAAAATGGCTTTAAAATGGTTTCACACCTACCATTTAATTTAGAAACGAAATTCAGACTGTATTACTTAACTTGATAAAAGTATGTTTTTGTTAGCTTATAGACTGTGAACACTTATTTAAGCTACCTTGGATATAAACTCAATGATAGATTTAATCCTAGGACTGGCAATATGTTTAAACAGCTTATAACTCATTTAAAATTATTCCGAAACCGAATAATTTTGATACCATTCGAAAGATGAGATTCCAGACTTCCATTTTAATACATAAACGAACCTTATAGCATTAACAGATCTATTTCATAATCGTTACAACTTTAATTAAAATTTAGGCGCAAGACGATTTTGGGTTTGGCACGTCAATTCATTACTCATGTTCAATAAATCGTAGCGCCGATAATCTTGCATGAAACCGGTTGTGGTTGGTACCAATAGTAAGATTTGTTCTGAAGTTTGTTTTCGTATCAAGAACCATGTGATTATAATGTCAAACAATATGGGAAATAATATTTAGAAATCAGCTGACATTTAAAATGATGAAAATCGTCATTTTCAATCTACATAATTAATACGCTACATGAAACTTTGTCGGTTGAACTCCTCAGCCATTTCTTAACCGATTTTATCCATTGACGTCTCATTGGAAAGAGCGTGTCGCGTAGATTTGCAAACTGGCCTTACATTTTTGAAAAAGTCTTTTGGACTCTGCCCAAGTGGCTTTGAAAGTTCCCATGTTATCCTTATGAAGGTCATAATTGTTTACATTTTGATCAGCTGTATAATTTAATTGCTGTTATTTATTTACTATTCGAGTTTGTGTAAACATAACCCCCAAGACGGATCGTGTTAGTCTGGTTGTATCTTAAATTTGTGTATTTATCGTTGTTTTGTGTCGCTATGACGGACCGTGTTAGCATGATTGTAACTTAAATTTCTGCATTTATCGTTGTTTTGTGTAGCTATAATTAGTTTATTTGTTGTTTTTTTCTTTCTTTTAAATGCCTCCGACGCGACGACAACGAACCATATACAGGTGGCGTAATCGTGATGACGACCGCAGCTACAGAACAGTGGCGCGTAATAGATAGGCTTAACTCATCACTAAAGTCAGCTAGCACCTGACCCTCGACAACCTCAACTATAAGTTACAAATGCGCCCTAACACTACCCCAAAACGACTTTTCGTTCTCAATTGGCCCTCTATCAATGACCTGTGTTGCCTGTACAGCGAGGCATTTTGAGAAGGAGAAAACCGGCCGGAATGCTTTAGGTTTATCAATAACGAAGATAAACATGGTCTGAGTTACACACCGGTAATCTTTGAGTTGACTCTTTTAACTCATTGTAAATATGACTGTTATTCGTTTTGAAATAACTCCTGTAATACTTCTTAATTGCTCTTCAATTGCTCGAATTCGAGCAACATGTACACTAGTAACTAATAAATCAACAAAGGATTGTGTTAGCGAGATGTACCTACATGTTGAATGGTTTGTACTGTAAACGAAAAGCTATCACAATAGTTCCAAACCTGTCAATAGTGTATTTTTCTAACATATTTTAGTGAAATTATAATCATGTTTGCTGAGTATATCTTACTACTGTTTACACAAAAATATAATCTAAAAATAATTCTCATAACACTCAGGATAAGAGTCTAGGTTGACATGGCAATGATTAAAGAATCTAAATATTATTTCCTATACCATGAATAATTTATTTTACAATTACTTATTCCCTGTAAAATATTATTTCACCACACTATGATGTTTTTGGCTGTATTACATACGTTAATTGGTGGCTGAAAGTTACGTTTTGCTGGCCATACCAGCTGTCATCGTAGATTTGGCGACCGAGCAGGTTTTTACAGCCCGGGGCCGCAAAATCAGCTGTCCGCTACTTAAAACATGAATGCATTTTAAATACACAATCAAAATCCATAGCATTGCAATAGAATTGTGCTACTGTCACCGTTGCCTAGCAACTATTTATTTTTTTTTTTTTTGCTGATTCCTCAAATAATTTCTTCACATAACCTTAAAGTTGTAGTTCAGTTGAGGATTCATTTTCATGTATTAAACATTATGGAGTGAGTATTATGTAGCGAGAAACATAGTTTGAAAACTAGAGAGTTCAAAATAGATTTTGGCGGTGGAAAGTTTTAGTCGTACCTGACTACAAAAACAGCTGTTTTTGGCGATTGTCAATTAAATTGTATACAATATTATTACATATTCTGAAACTACAATAAATTCCCTACAATTCCCTCTGAATCTATGAGGCTGATTGTAAACATTTTATTTGGTTTTAAAAATGTCATAAAAATTATGTTTTTGTAAAAAATCTTCAAAATTTTACATTCCGAAGTAAATTACTCAGAAATGTTAGAATTCAACTACATATAGGCCCTAACTATATATTTTCAGAAAGATCTTTTATTTCCCATTGTGCAGTTTTATATTTATTGTCTATTGATGCATTCTATTATTATTACCTACATGACAAAAAAAAATTGGTAGTTTTTCAAAAAAGAAAATGTATGTAGAATCTATTTATTTATAATTTTATTTCTATGAGTAGGCTACTTATAAAACAATGATATTTCTACGTAGGTAATTATATTTTACAACCTTTACTGTAGATAAAATGTGTAAAAAAATTATTTTGTGGTTTTCTTGTAGGTTGATTTTGAAATTTCTAATTTGCATAATCCAAAAATTTGCAAACCTTTTACTACTACGCCTAAACGCATTGCTAGGAAAAAAGTATTTTTATATTATTATATTCCACATTTTTCACTGAAACAGAAAATATACTTATATTCACAAATAAATGTTCTGTGGCAAAATATATGACACCACTACAAAGGGCCAAAATATACCCACCACTAGTGAATAAAATGCCCGCCATATCTAGGGGGTATTGAAAGTGGCCGACTTTGGTGTGCTCATCTGAACCGTTTAGGAATGTGCTAGAAACTTGAAATTTAGTAGTAGGCCTATTGCAGTATGATATCTTACATTAAAGGTGAAATTCGCAACAAAATTTTTCAAATTCCAACCCCGAAAAATCCAAAATGGCGGACCTCTGAAAACGACAAAACACGTTTTTTTTTAACGGCTGTAGTTTGAAAACGGTAGGAGCTAGAAAAGATTTGAAAGAATTTTCACAGTCAGGAATTAAATTGTCTACCAAGACATTCTTATGCGTTTTTAGAAAATCACACTCCTTTACCTTCAAAAAACGCCCTACTTTCAAAATTTGGTATAACTCTTTCAAATGTTTAACGGTTTTCGCTACTTTTCCCAACCTAAGTAAATTATTTGTTCAAATATTATTAATGCTTTGTGTTTTCCTTGGTTTACTTAAAATTTTAGTTACTTAATGTTTTTTTGTAACTTTACTCCTTGACTCCCAAAACTTAGGTTTAATGTCAAAATGTGAAAGTTTTTGTGAGCTTCATGTTATTCTTATGGGGAAGAACATTGAAATTTAATGACTTTGGTATGGTCATCTGAATCCTTTAGAAACGTGCTAGAGACTGGAAATTTGGTAGTATTGTAGTAAGGGATCCTAAGTTAATGGTGAAATTTGCAAAAGACCCATTTTCAAGATTCAACCGTACCTTTAAATTGTGTTACTAATTAATAATTACTAATTATAAATTGGCAACATACAATCAAGTACCATCTACTTAGTTAGATTTATTAAACATTACTGCAAATAACGTACAAATGTCTATCTTTACTCGACATATCTGTCAGCACATCTAGGGTTCATCCCAGTGTCTTTTTATAGGGATATACAAAGCTAAGTTTTAAAATGCATGTTTTTGTACAGTGCAGTACTGTGTTCTTTTTTCATGGTTACAAAAGCAGTTTCCTGATTGTTTGTTTCATTTCAGGGGTCCAGAGCAGAGTTTTGTTTCCTGAGGAATTAGTTTCATTCTTATCCTTTGTATATTCTGTTATTCCTCCAGTCAAAATAGGTATGTTGCAGCAGGTAAACGAGTATAACAATACTTTTGTATATTCACAAATTAAGGTAATTGTTTGCGGAATATTATTGAAGATTTTTACAAATATGAAATACTAAAGTGAAAATGCCAGTATAGTGAGACAGACCAAGAAAGGCAAAATGTTGATAAGGGTTGACTGAGGACAATTAAAGTACATAATTTATCCATCTAAAAGTTTCTCTGTGCTCTGCTAACAAGCCTAAAACTCTAAGGATCACTCCAAGCAAGTTTACTCTAAAGGGTGAAGGCTGCTTGGTCTATTTGGCCTAGGGCTGCAAATGTCTTAAATCTGACACTTATCACATTATTATTAATTGGAGTGATGCAAAGAATCAAGTTTGTAATTATATAGCAAGACTTCTTCTACCCAGGTCAACCAAAACCATGATAAAAGATTAGCTAAGGGAATTGACCACAAAATGTGGGTAGTTTACAACGGCTAGGTGAAGATAAAGTTCAGAAAACAATAGTCATTTATGAAATGGATTTTGTATTTTATACAGTTTTAGATTTTTTCAGATGATACTGTCAGAGCTACTCTCGACACTAAAAAGTTCTTATGAGATTCGAGATTCTACTGGTATTTAAAGTTTCTTATTTAGTGACAGTCCTACTTGTTATAACAGGCCAACGACTCATATTTACTTTTTCTTTGGGCAAAAAACGTTGTCATCTTCTCTCAAATATTTTAAATGCAGGACCAACATTTTTATTTATTTTATTTTAGGTTAGTAGAGCAATCCAACAACGTAATTTGTTTTGTAGCTGTGCTATGGTTGAAATAAATGTATGACAGTTAGTAACTATTTATTTACTTAGTGAATAAAATAGTAAATAATAAAACATTTAATAGTAAACAATAGTTCATTTAAACAAAAACCCTTTAAATTCCAACCATTGACAACTGGAACTGAGACAACCTTGCTAAATGTTGGTTTATTAGGGTTAATCAGGTGTCTTTTACTGTAAACTGTAATTAGTGTTTCTAGCAAAACATTTATTTACTCTTTTACTCTTATTTACTTTTTGCTTCATTGCAAAATATTACAACCTATGTTATTGTTAGGTCAAGACAGCAGAGTCGGAGCTGGTTTCCGAGTGGGGCCAAACGCAGATTTCCAGATCTTGTTGGAGTTGGGGCCTCAAAGTGAGACTCAGTCATTGGGGCCTGACGGGGTTAACACTAGAGATGCGAGGACTCCCAACCTACATAAGAGCTTGAAAAGTAAAAAACACAACTTCCAGACAAAGAACAAAACCCTAACTGAAGCTAAAGAGAAACCCAACTCACACACTACTGAAGACAACTCAACTGTAACTAAAACAATGGAGACTGCAACCCATAACTTCACTGAAAGTTCCTAAAGTTTCAGAAATTAATTACATTAATTGTATTATGTTGATAAGTAACTGACAAAATACTCAAAAGTGTCTGTATATTGAAATAATTTTCATCTTGTTAAAGTTATATTTATGATCTGAACACAATATTGTATTAATCAAATATCAAGTTGAGAGACATTGAGATTATCTAGTGTTCCATTTACATATAAACTGTGGGCATTTCTGGCATATTTTTCATTTTGCATTCATATTGCATTAATTCTGCAAAGGATGAGCAAAACAACTACCGGTAGTTGAAAACAAAACAAAATATTTTTGAAGTCTGCAAACTAATCTGCCAACACAAAAATGTATACTGGAAAAAAGTATATTTCATTAAGTCATGAACGATACATTTGTTGACATCAGCCCTCACAGTAAATATCTACATTAATTTAATTCCGGATGTGATTAACAATCTGTTATTGATGTCAATTGTACAAAAAATTATAAACACATTTGTAGGCATCTTGAAACTAACCAGAAACAAGTCTTTATAAGTGAAATAGTTTTATAGTCATGTTTCATGTTTTATTGAGGTAAAAAAGAGTCAAGTCCAATTCAACTTTAATTTTTTTAATGGTTATAAACAACAATTAATACATCAATAATATACAACACATGATTTTAATATGAACGTGGTGTTTTATTTTGTATCTCTTTACCCTGCAAGATGTTTTATTATATTTGTTTAAACATTTTTTAAGTTGTAATAATTTATGAAGGTGGTTTTAGAATAATGTTGCCATATGAACAAAAAAAGTAATAAGGTTAACACACATGAGATTCTATAGCTTGTACTTATAGGTTACACAATTTATATTTGTGTATTGAGGGGTAAAGGGTGTTGGGATAATATTTGCAATGTTTGTTCATCGGTAAAATAAACTGTGTTTTGAATATATTGTAACATACATATACTGTTTACATTCTACATACAAATTGAATAAAAAAGATGAATATTTTATAGAATGTATTTACTTTAATCATTTCCCCAACTTTTTAGATATACTTTAATCAAGTGTAACAATAGTACCCTAATTATTTCCAAAGTCAAAGGGAAGAAGTGTTTTGCTGAGGAGATTAGAATTTATCTTTGTATGTGTATGTTCCTTATTTTATACAAAGTTGGCTTTGGCGCACAAGTTTAGATTTTGAATAAGGAGTGAGTTTTAGACATCGAACAACAAATATAACAACAACCAAACATACAAGATACTGTACAATATGACTATTTACATTGTACAAGGGATGGTTTCAGTTTTTGTTTGAAGAGAGTTCCACGTGTTTGGTTGACAATTTGAAAGATACAACAGTAACATTTATTTATTCAAGACTAAGTTTTTGATTTGTTTTGTAATTTGATATAAACCAAAAACAAATCTCCAAATACAATCAATGTTATAGACTGTCGATTATATAGTTTATTTATAAAAAAAATTATTATTAAATTAAAACTGTATTAACAATATTATATTTTATAACATGTAAAATTTAAGGTTCCAAAAATGTGGTTCCACCTTTCGGATGTATTTAGCCTAAGAGCCAGTTGTATATTTTTATCAAGTTCAATTAAATGCATCTTGGATTATAAACAACATCTTTTGAATAGTTATTTGAGTTGGATGTAAAATACTAAATGTTTAGCGTCCAAAGGCTCGTTAAACTAAAATATACATTAATTTTGTTAAATTTATCGACGGTTTTATATATTGTTTTGATGAGTACATTTTTAACCTGGTAGTTTTTAGTTAGAAGATTCTATTTTCACTTTAGAATGTGTAACACTACAGTACACGAGCTGTGGACTTAGAGTCTGCACATTAGAAAAAGCACGTCAAAATAAGTGAATCCGCAAGCGAATGACATGACACGCCACCTACCTTCCCCCACTACCTTTCCAAGGAGCGTTAGTTGGCCTTTAGCTACGAGGGTGTAAAGTTAGGCATTTTATGTTTCAAGAGGATTAAGAACAGGCCAGTGATTGACTGATTGGTTTTCAACAGGACATTTTCAATTTGAAATATTTGTAATTATTTTGAAATTTATCCACAAATATTTACCTATTTTGGACTATTTGAAATGTTGATGCTATATGAATTTTATTAGGTTTATAAAAGAGCATTTCCAGTAACACGTCACTTACTACTGGTGTTACTATTAGCCGCGCGTGTACTGGAGGGTTGGTTAAACTTTAATAAATGTCCGATTAAAAATAAAAATATTGATTTGACCCAGAATTGATTAAATGCTTATATAGATGAGATTTTTTTTATTGAAGTGAGATTCAAAAATAAATATTGAATGAAGTAAAATATAATAAATTATGTTCATACGATACCTATACCTGAAATTGCCCAAATACCTGAATTATTGTGGTATGTGCACTTAACCAGCCTACTTGAAATTAGAAGAGACTTTACATACATAGGATTTTATGTCATTTTACTCAATAACTTCACAATGAATATTAAATAAATGAATAAACCTCAAACCTTAAGCTGACAGTGCGTTCTTTGATATAAGTTTTAGTCAAGAGAAAATTAATACACATTTATGTTTATTAGGTAATTTATATTACCTAATAAACATATATTAGGTAATTTATTATACGGTAATTCATAAATACAAAAAATTAGGTACCGTATTCGCAAAACCAAATTCCATCATATCATAACAATATGTTTGTTATGATTCCTGATCTATGAAAAAAATCTTCTGGGTTTTTAAATCAGATTTCTGTGAAGATAACCATATCAAACATTACTACTTTTTATTAATGCAAACAAGAGAAACTGTGTGCAATCAAAGAATGTTTTTGCTCACACAATGCAATAGTTTACAATCCTGAGCTTTAAATAAATGTTGTTATGATTTATATTTTTAAACACAATAAATATACCAAATAAAGCACTATCAGGTTGTTGAATGGCCAGAATCTTTAGAGCAAGTTTCTCTCATGTTATGTATATTAGTATTATAAAGTGCTTTCTTTAATTCCTCCTAAAATTGGAAATAAGACATGCAAATACATCAAAGTATTAACATAATTGAAAACACAGAAAATACCATGAGAGTAAAAATTGTATTGTAGGAAAAAAAAAAATAATAATAAGAAAGAATAAAAATGTAAAATAAAGTTTGATAAACTTTTTTTTACCATAATTTAATTGCAAAGATAGATAAAAACAAAACATTGATTTTGTTACTGTGTGTTGTGATTAGAGTGGTGTGTCTGGATTTCAAGGATTCACTTTGTTACCTACTCCCATGTGAAGCATTCAGGAACTCTAGAACTTCGAGTTACTACAAAATCCCCAAAAATTGCAAGAAGGAGAAACGAGTTATTTTTTTAATCATAAAATTATAAATAAATGTGGAATTATCTTAAAATTAAAACCTCCTTAGAGGGTATAAATGCCCCTTGTACTGGTTATTGTTTGTTAAGTTAGCTGAATAGAGTATTCGAGATAAAAAATATCTTCCTTAACCTTTGGGGTATAACAAACAAAATATGAGTTGAGTTAATCCAGATGTGAAAATATTTTCATAGATACACTGTAAAACTCACAACATTTTAAAAATTGCTCAAAGATAGGAAAACTTTCAATAACCAAGCTTAATCCAAATGAGGAAAACACTAAGTTTTGGTAGCTACAGTTGTAATGGATAATCCGGTCCTGGATCCGGTCATCTGACACGGCCGGATGGAGAGCGCAAGTGTGACCGGATGTAACCGGTCCGGTAATCTATGACCGGTCGTTGCTGGTTAGCTTGGGCTCCATGTCTATGTCGTCGACTCCACCTTAAAAATACAATGAAAGTAATTATTGTTAGCTCAACAGAAAACCTGCAATTGACTATACTCTGTTCACAATATCTAGGCGGTTTGACAGGAAGCGATTCCATCCCATCTACCTTACCCTGACTTTGAAACAACAGCCGACAGCTGATATATACCTATCATTAAGCTAAAAAAAAATTGGTGGGGGAACCCAGTAGGAAGGGAAACCTTCCCCTTAAACCGCCTAAATTTTATAAATGAACAATGAATGAATGCACAACAACAATGAACAATGAATGTAGTTTATATGTAATGCTAACCAACTTTCAGGAAGTAACTTTTACTTTCATGTAAAACATCAGCCAAAGCTAACATTTGAGAGTGAAAAAGTACCTAGTCAAGCTTTAATTTTTCTAGAATGATGCCTTAGAAGCAGGTTTCCAAAAATAACCTCATGACTTTAGGATGACAACAACAAAAAATACAATTACTTATGTTACCATTTATATTCACCTTTTTTATTCTTGGTAATTAAAATGTTGGGTTGCTATGACACATCTAAGTTTTCCTACCCTCAATCAATTTTTGTATCACCCACTTTGAGAGTTGTTATGTCAATGGCTTTTGAGTACTATGCGACAGATATATCGGCGTTTACTAAAATCTCTAAGGGATATACAGAGGAAGGTTATTTTAACAAAAAGTAGCAAAACGGCCATTGGTGACCTGCATGTTCATAGGATACACTAACAACCATTTAGCTAAAAGATTCGCCCAATCCAATGATTCGAGATGTATGTCTAAACCAAGGATTATGAACACCTCACTATGCCCCAGTGGTTGTAGTAGGCTATATCGCTACAAACACACAGGTCACCAATTATTTGCCACACAGGACGGGAATCGAACCAGAGCAAAAGAATGCCACTGGCCAAGTGACACACGCCCTAGCCTTCTCGGCTATCTGTGCTTGGAGACTGAGAAGTCAAAAACCGGTATTTAAGCTGACACCAACGATTGCGAACAGATAGCGCTACAGCAGGTTGTTCAATGCGTTACAAGGTAGCAGCACTAGTTAGTCACGGACACTTTAGATGATATTTTTCAGTTGAACCACTACAGTGATCATAAATTGTGTCACCGGTATTGAGGCTTTGCTGCAAAAAACTATTTTCCTAAAATGGCTATATTATAACCTTATCAAACTAAATTAAGGTTAAATTCTATATTAAATTGTAAACTAGATGTCTTTTGATTTTATGAGATTTTGCTTTCAAACAATGCTATCAGAACATTACAATTTATAAGAAAACTTGGAAATTTACAACAAAAACTAAGTTTTATTTAATGATTACTACAAATAGCCGGACTTTTCTTTGTTATATATTTGTTATTGTCATACAGGGCGTTTATTTAAGAATCATCAGGTTTTAAAACATTTTATTGACGTTAATGTTAAACAAATACGGATATAAAATTTATCAACATTAAACTCTTAAATTTTTTATAGATACCCCTACAAGTTGTCAACGTGTCGTCCATTAGCTGTGGAGCAAGTTTCCAATCTATGCTGTAAATTGTCCAATACACCGGCTAGCATCGCAAGGTTGGTTGATTCTACGGCATTGCAAATTCGTCCACAGAGCTCTTGAAGTGTTTAAGGCATTGGCGGTATATAAACTTTGTCTTTTACATAGCCCCATTGAAAAAAAATCACACACCGAATGATCAGGGGATCTAGGGGGCCATTTGAGAAGGGTAAAGTCATTATCGTTACATTTGCCAATCCACCTCAGTTTTTCAGTTTTTAAGAGAACTCTTGCGCGACCACTGCTTTTAAGTTTTAATATACTTCCAGAGTTCCTAAACTGGCGATACCACCTTAAAATGCTTTGGTGTGTAGGAGGAGTCCGTCTAAAATGCCCCCTCAAACTCACGCTGGATGGTTATTAAAGATGAACTTGAGTCATAATGAAAAACACAAAATGTTTTTTCTTGAATTGTAATCATTTTGAAAATGATGCAAACACGTCCAAGAAAAAACCAAGTGTGCCAAAGGCATGGATTACATTAATATATTTAATGCCAGCTGGTTATAATTCATTTGTTATTGTTTTGAACTTATAATTGTTACTATGAAAATACAAAAACTGTGAACCAAACTCTCAACTTATTTCAGTTTTATCTAACTTTTATTCTTATAAAACTAACTAACTTTAAACTTGAACAACTAACTATTTGACATGGTAGCAGAGCTGCAACGATCCACCTGTAACTGATATTTATTTCACTTATTTGTACTGTCTAACTTCAACTGAACTTTGAACATGACGACTCGACTAAGGAAGAAGGCTGCCACTCTCACGGCACGTGTGAAGTCTACCTTTGCAGAGGCGACTACACTGCTTCACGCCGAGGACCCTTCGAGGAACGCGCTACTAGCGACGCTGGCAACTCTGCAAGGCTATTCAGCTCGCCTAGAAGCCTTGATGGAACAGATTGACCTAGACACAGCCAACGGGTCGGCAACTGTGGAGGGTACCGACGACGCCGAGGACCTGTTTGGTATCGTACTTGACAGTGAGCAAGTAATATCAACCTTGAAGGTAAGACTAGAAGCCTTCAACACGAAAGCTATCAATGATCATGCCAATAATTCAAATGGTCTTTCGTCCAAGCGAGTGTTGGAAAATCCACGCAGTTTAGTACAACTACCTAAACTAATCCTTCCTATGTTTGAAGGTAACATTCTTAAATGGCAAGAGTTCTGGGACTCGTACAACTCTGCCATTCACAGTCAGCAATATTTAACTAAAGTAGATAAATTCAATTATCTTAACTCCCTTTTGAATGGAGAGGCCAAACTATGCATTGCTGGTCTACAATTAACTGCTGACAATTATGACGTTGCCATTTCTTTACTCCAAGAAAGATTTGCTAACAAACAACTCATTATCAATTCACATTACAAAGCCTTGATGGATTTAAGTCCCTTAAAATCGAACGACACTGGAAAACTTAGGAACTTATTCGATGTTATTGACAAACACATCAGGTGTCTACAAAACTTAGGTGAAGATACCAACTCGAATTTCTTTTTTTCTCTGATTATGAGGAAACTTCCTCTGGATATAGTCATAAAAGTAGAGGAAAACAACGTAGATAATACTCTTGATGCCACTAAATTATGTAGTATAGTAAGAAATATAATCGTAGCTAGAGAAAAGTCACAACTTTTATTAGGTTTTGGATCAACAAAAACTTCCATATCACCATCAGAAAACGGAAACTACTTTCGTACCTCAGAAAAAGGTAATTTTTCAACTACCCAGGCCCTTCCATCGACCGAAAACAGAACTGCAACCTGTATTTTCTGCAAAGACGACCACTGGAACGACCAATGCCAGAAGTAGAAAACTTTAGAAGAAAGAAAAAGTAAGGTTAAAGGTCTCTGTTTTATTTGCCTGAAGAGTGGACACAACTTAAAGGATTGTAAGGTAAGCAAACCTTGTGTATATTGCAAACAAAGGAAGAACCATCATAGAAGTCTTTGTCCCAAAAGATTTTCACAGTCTCTTAAGCCTCCCGAAAATTGTGCTGTCAATCCCGAAGTCTGTAGTGAACCTTCTCTTGTTACGGTTAATGAAAATGTGATTTTGCAAACGGCTAAGGTTTATTTGACGAGTAATGGCTTGACAGAGCCTGCTAAAGTTTTGTTTGATACCGGGAGTCAAAGATCTTATATCTGTACTAATCTTGCATCAAAACTTAAACTAAAGAGCGATAACACTCAGGTGGGGAGTGAGCCCCTGATTACTACTTGACCTGTATCACTTGTGTTCCTCAGTTTTTTATAAAATTTACCGGGAAATTTTTGGTTTTACTATTCAAGTTTTATATGTAAATATTCACATTTTAGTTTTGTACAATATTCGGAAACCGGTTTTTTATTTTGAGCAACCGGTTGTATATAATAAAGGTTTTTCTGATAAAATTTCAAGTTTCTGCCCATTTTCAAGATAATAGTGGACTAGAGATAAGACTCCAGTGAGTGACACAGCAGAAGTTGACCTTTGGATATTCAGATAAGGAAGCAGCTGAAGCTCAACAAGCCAGGTTCTTTATCTACAGTTTACAACTGCAAGTTTATCTGCTTTAAACTGGAACTATTGACATATTATTATTTTATTTGACACTATTATTTTGACATATTTGATTTTATTATGGCATATTATTATTTTATGCTTTGTCTGAAATCATTGAGTCATGCTTTCTGGATCATATTTGAATTTAATTGATATATTTTATTGATACAATTTAATCAATCAATTGTCAACGCATATCAAACTATCATAAATATATATGAATATATTTGAATGAATGAATATATATGAATTGTAGTATCAATTGATTTTGTATATGATTTTGGAAAACAAAATGGAATCCAAGTTTCAAACAAATGATCTGGTTATTGTAAAATTAAGAGGCCATCCCCACTGGCCAGCCATCATTGATAAAATAGAAGTGAAAGGAAAATCACATATATTTAAGGTGACCTTCTTTGGAACTAGAGAAACTAGTGTGTGTAGGTGTGGTGAATTGAGTAGCTACACCGAGCACAAGCACATTTTCTTCAATGGGAAAACAATTAATGATAATCTAAAATTGGCAATAAATGAAATTGACGAAGAAATAAGAAAAAGATCAAAGACTAAGCCATTAAGAAAATCAATAAACAAAATCTGTATTTCTAACAACATTTCAACAGAAGTTTCCCCATATTCCCCTGCCCCTGAAAACACCTCAACTACAGTAACTGGGAATAAACACAGTATTAGTACCACCCCAAGGCTATCAGAAAAAAATAGGTCAGAGGGGAAAAGTGCTGAAATCTCTCAGGAAAGTGACTCGTCTAGTAGTAGATCAATAACAAAAGATTTTCATACGCAAATTCTCATAAATGAACTTAACAGAGCAAAAACTGAAATTTTGAGTCTGAACAGTGCCATAAACTGCCTTCA